CTGCTGAACTTTGCACTGGAAAAGACAATGTAAAAAAAAAAAAGTAACTTGCCCTTCAGTTACAGTGAAAGTATCTTGGAATTTACTTGCACACAGAGTCCCTGGCCTTTGCTTGAACTTACCACACTCAACACAGCCAGAGAGGACAATTCAGTAAAACAAGACGGGCAGTTTAGGGGTGCTCAAGAGATTAGTCAATTCAGTGTCATTCTACCCCAAGTCACTTGCTTCTTGTAAGAGCAATAAATAAAGCACCACAGGTATGGGATGGTCTGGAAAATTGTGGTAGGCACGAGTTTTCACTGAAAATAAGCTTCAAGTTTATATCCTTCAATTGGCAAATCTTGCACATTTTGATGGGCCAGTAATCAGAGCCAGCTTAAGCTGAAACAAAGTTTGGTGCTGCACTCTGTCACAGCAGTGCATAGTCATTTTCAGATGAGTTGACAACATAAACCAATGGGACTCAGCCCGGGACAACTTTTATTCGAGTTTTCTAACCCAAAACTGAAATGTAGTGCAGAAAGACTTTTGATCATGCTCAGTCTTTAAGCATGGAAAAAGAACAACAATACTGAGAGGATGAGGTGGCAGTTCAGACTTTGCCCTCTCCCAAAGTCTGGTCTTAGAAATTTTTCTAGTGAGGGTCAATATACTACATCCAGTATATGGGGATACCAACTGGGGGAAAACAATCCAAACCAAACACACACAAATATCTCAAGAATCTGTCTGCTTTGGTGTGCATAACTGCTACCAATACATCATCCATTTGCAAAATAATGCCTGCAAAATCCTTAAGGAAAGATTAACCTCTACCTCTACATAGACCATTTCTAACACCAAGAGACGACATGCCATTTAAAGGGCAGTATTTTTAAAATATACCTCAAAGGATCCACAACAATGCAGATGTTTCTAACCAGAAATTCTGCCTCCACGAGTGGCTGAAGCCTGCATCATTAAACAGCTTTAGTAACAGCAGCAGCAGATACACTGCTTCCTTATAGTTTGGGTTCCTTCCTCAATTTTGTTTGCACTTATTGAATCTCCAGAATACAACTTGCTTGGATCCAACAGCGGCATAACAAAGTAGCAGCCAATCCTGACTGGCTGATTCTTAACCAAATCCCGTTAGTTCATTCATTTAGATAGCACTAGTTATTTTTAGGTTTACTTAGGCACTGTCATAAGTAACCAATATTCTTCGACAGCATGCTGGCAATTAACAAGGGAGAGAGATTTCAAGTTTACTCTGATATTGACAGTTCTCACTTTCATCCAAGCCCAATCAGTTAAATTACACTGTGAAGCCACCTGGCAATAAGACAAAAGCGAGTCCATACAGTAATCCCTTCTTAGAGGTAAGCTGATACTCTCTAAAGAGACCATCACAAGAGGAAAAAAACCTCAGCAAATATTTCACCTTCTTAAAAAGATACACGTTACTTCACCTACTTTCACCAGTCCAACTGAAAGACTGAAATATTTGAAACACAGAAAAGCACTTAAATGTAACCCTGCTACAGTAACTGTAAAGTTTTTATACGTCAGCATATCTCAAGATTCAATCTGAGACCTTCACAAAAAAAAAAATCCATGATGACCTGCTGCATATTTTGGTGTTTCACAATGGCATGCAACTCACAGGACCCCTTAACATTATCCAATTGCACAAATGACACTCAGATTCAGATCTCTTCACTGGGTGTTTCATACATTAACTGTACATTTGTCTAACCTCCATTTTTAGGCAACTAAGACTATTTCACAAGGATGAGTGGTGCGTCTGATATGAAAACCACCAAGGTGCACAAATCTTACTTTGTAAAAGTTTGTTACTAATCTTTCATTACAAAGTATTTGTTTAGTAAAATGACTGCAATTTCCTATTGACTCGGTCTTTGGTTCAAGTTACTAATGTAAACATGGACTAAATCCACATCAATCAATGACTTTTCTTTTAGTTTTACAGTACTACAGAAAACAGAATTCATCCTTTTTAGTTACATCTATTTTCTAATTATCAGCACCCCTGAAATTTTTACCATGAAAGCTTAGTCCTCCTAATAATATTTCACTCCACCGGGAAACAAAAAAAAAGAAAGCTTTAACTACACAACCCAAAGCTTTTAAAAGAAACTCTTTTCTCTGGAAAGAAGAGTATCCATCTTTTTTCTCCTAGATCATCTCTGTCAACAAGCTTTCATCTCCTCTGTTGACTGTGGATATACAAACCTTTTGCCAGTGCCTCTTTGTATTTCTCCTCCGCAACATTCAGGTTGTTCACGTAGGTGGCATGATGTTTGCTGTGGTGCAGCTGCATAATCTCCGCATTAATATGAGGCTCCAGAGCGCCATAGTCATATGGCAAGTCAGGAAGAGTGTGCTTTTGCCTAGAAACTAAGCATCCCAATGGTGCTACCAATTGTGCACTGGTTCTAGAAGACAAGAAAACAGAAGACGGTAGTTTATTCAGAACTTGAGCTCTACCACTGAAATGATGCCGTGAAAAGGCTGAAATTAGAACTTCACAGCCTTGATATCTGTTAAGCAGGTATTCTTTACTGCAGCGCTGGGCACACCGGGGATAGCTCCACCTGGTGTGTGCCCTGTGAAGGGCTAAACGTACGGCTTTTATACAGTTTAGATACACATATACATGCAGTATAGTCACATATTCATGAGAACTCATTAACATATGTTGCCGCCCACTCCCACATGCACAATACAGTCTTTCAGTGGTGTTTTACTTCATCATGATAGTCTTCATCAGGGTGTCCTTTTGATGGGCTCCATTCAGTTAACTCCTTATCTTTGTCAAGACACCCCAAGGCTGGCCTAGGCTGGTTCTGCATATTTTAATGGCACTTGGGAGTCCTGGGGCATTCCATCTTTGAAGCTAAGAGCATCCTGTCCTTGGGGATAAGCTCCCCTTGTGGAATCCCTTTGTCTCACACCTCTGTTCTCCCACTGATTCTGCTTGCTCAAGCATGTTAAGTCTCCTACACCCCAGCTAAAACTGCAGTTCTGCCTAAAAACTACGGCTCCAGCTAAAACCACGGCCTCAGCAACCACATCTGTTAGAATCAGCTGCCGTAAGACACGGGGTAACATCTTAAGTCAATTTTCCATTTTTCCAGAGAAGCGCACTCTGTAGCTTAATAATTGCCGAGATAAACGCCCATAAAGGTCACAGATCTAGGGCTTCGCAACGTAAAGCTGCCCCTTCTCAAATGAAGCACCCAGAGAGTCACTCACCCGCCCGTGCAGGCAGGCAAGGCAGCGGTGGGGGTGCAGGGAACACCCAGCAGCAATGCTCCCACCCCGAGAGCTTCACCTTTTCGTTACTGATTAAAAGCAGAGGCCCCCAGTAAGATTCCCGCCCTCACTGAAAAATAAAATGGTTGAAGAAACACACGAGGTCACGGGGATCTGAGGACTGAGCCGCTCCAGCGTTATCGCCTCCCACTGCTCCCACAAAGCAGCCCGCGGGTTCTGGG